GGAGATCCCCCTGCACATTTACGTTGGAACTACGGGACTGCACCCGGTAGATTCCCCCAGTACTGAGTATTCACATTTGAGACTACAGATGTGATATTCCGGGAGATCCCCTGCGCGTTATGAGTTCGACTACGGGATGACACCCGGGAGATCCACTGGATATTTATATTTGGGGACTACAGGACGGTATCCTGGGAGATTCCCGGTTGTTATCTCTGTATTGAGTTGTATTCCTTCTGTGATTATTTGTCTCTGTTGTAGTTGTTGCTACTCTTATTACCCTGTGTTACTTTAATATTGCTTCTTTTCCTTATATATTATTGTATATGACCGGTAGGGCCCTCACCTTCCACATCACTACTCGACCGAGGTTAGGCTTGGCACTTACTGGGTATCGCTGTGGTGTACTCATGCCCTTTTCTGCACATGTTTTTCGTGTGCAGATCCAGGTACTTCGACTCAGCCCTACTACCCTTGAGGCGAGGCTATTCTCCAGAGACTTCGAGGTATATCTGCCATGTCCTCAGACCAAGGAGTCCCTTTCCATTCTCTCTTGTAGTGATAGCCCTTCTATCCTTTCTTTTGATTTAGACATTCTAGAGTTAGAGCATTTTGTCGTATCCATAGCTTGTGATTCATGGGATTCCGGGTTTTGGGAGTTGTTCAGTTTTGAGATCTTGTATTGTATATGCCGAGCGGCATCTTAAACACTTTTATATTTGTTATCTTCGGTTTTTATTAGTTTTTGCGCATTTGTTTCTTTTTCCGAAATTGTTAGGCTTACCTAGTAGTAGGGACCAGGTGCCGTCACGACATGTTCACGGAGGGCGAACTTGGGTCGTGACACTTTTAACCAAAACTTTAGCCTAAAAAGCAGAAGCTTTAACCAAAAGTTGTGCAGCAGATGCTGAAGTTGTTTAGTTCATTTGTAAACACTTCAGGACAAACCACCTAAAAGTTTTCCTCCTGCACTATGTAATTCTCTCATGCATGCTGAAGTTAAATTTAGTTTATGCTTAAGTCTTGTCTTGCATTAATCACCTTCTTCATGAGCTTTTTTTCGAAAACTTCACTATAAACAAGCTGAAATGTCTAGTACATTTGCTCAAACTTCAACTTCAATGTGCTTACATTTTTTATGAACTTCATAATTAAATTCTTCTGTTCAGTTTCCTAATACTTGACACTAAACATGCTGTCACGACCCTAAACCCAGGCCCGATCGTGATGGCGCCTCTCGTGAAGACAAGGCCAGCCGACACATTTCCAATCTAGTTTTTAAGAAATTAAACAATAAGCATTTCGTCTAAAGCATGATGTAACCTCAGAAGTAACAATGATAATGCAAAACAATTCGCGGAATACAACCCAACACAGCCCAACCGGGGTGTCACTAGTCATGAGCATCTACTAAGTCTAAATACAACCGACAAAGCCTGGAATGTACTAAGTACAGACTAATAAAATAAGGAGGGAGAAAAGCAGTGCTGTGAACGCTGGCAGCTACCTTGCTAAACTCCGATAACTCTGCCTCCAATCAGCCAAAACCCGCTACCGGGTGTAGAATACCTGAATCTGCACACATGGTGCAGGGAGTAAAGTGAGTACTCCAACTCAGTGAGTAATAATCATAAATAAAGACTGAGCGATAAGAAATCACGAAAAGAGCATCAACATGCTGTATAGAAGCAGTTCAAAACCAGTGAGAAAAGCAATGAAGCTGTAAAATCCCTTAAAACGTCTTAGCTCAGTTTAAAACTCTTTGGAAATCGCTTTTTCAACAGTTACTCAAATGAATACAGAACAACTAGTGCAGATAAGCGCAGAAATCCGCCCCTCGGGCAATATCTCAGAACGGTAGCGGCCCCTCGGGTAATCACATAGAACAAAACCAGCCCCTCGGGCTACATCTCACATCACACTGGGTACCCGCGCTCACTGGGGGTGTGCAGACTCCGGGAGGGTCCCCTTACGGCCCAAGCGCAATAACAAGCCATCTCGTGGCATCATAAACAGGTCCTCGACCTCATATCAATATCAAGCTACCTCGTGGCGTACAATCTCAGGCCCTCGGCCTCATGATCAAATCAGTGTATCACCGTTGCGGCGTGCAGTCCGATCCCAAAGATATGTATCACCGCTGCGGCGTGCAGCCCGATCCCAAAGATATGTATCACCATTGCGGCGTGCAGCCCGATCCCAAAGATATCCTCACAACAGAGGCCCTCGGCCTTACTTAGTCAAAAATCACATAAGCCTCTCGGGCAACAGTAAAATAGTATTTCTCATCCCAAAACATCATTTAAATATCATTTGAGGATTAAAACAGAGTAAACATGGCTGAGTTTTGAAAAACAGTGGAAATAACATGACTGAGTTCAAGTATAAAGTCAAAACAGTGAGGAAACATCAACAATAATCCCCGAAGGATTCACATAATTGGCACGGAGCCCAAATATGGCATTCAGCCCAAATAACGATGATAGCAAATAGATTTCAATCAAATACGCAGTAGAATCATCAATTGAGACGGACCAAGTCACAATCCCCTATAGTGAACGACCCCACGCTCACCATTAAGCGTGTGGCTCACCTCAATATAGCACTACGATGTGCAATCCGGGGTTTCAAACCCTCAGAACATCATTTATAATAATTACTCACCTCGAACCGGCTAAATCTCTAGCTCGTGACGCCTTTACCCTTCGAATTGGCCTCCACGCGCGTCGAATCTATCCAAAAATCAGAATGAATATGTCAAAATATGCCAAGGGAACAAAGCCCAAGCGAAAATAATCAATAACGGGCACAAATCCCGAAATTAGCAAAACCCGAGCCCCGGGCCCACTTCTCGAAACTTAGAAATTTTCACATCAATAGATTCCTTATCTCCCCACGAGTTCATACATACCAAAAACATCAAAATCCGTCCACAAATGACCCTTCAAATCCCAAATCAAAGGTCCAAAATTCCAAGCCCTAATTCTTCCATTTTTAGCTTAAGTTTCCATGATTTTCTAGGTAGATTTCACAATAGAATCGAGTTTTAAGTCCAAAAATCTTACCTCAAGTCGTTTCCCCTTGAAACCCTCTTTAATCTCCTTCAAAAAGCTCTCAAAATGATCAACTATGGGTGAAAATAGACCCAAAATCGCGGACAAGACGACTTAAAACATTCTGCCCAGGTCTGGCTTCCCTTCTTCGGGAACGGGGTCAAACTCTTGCGTTCGCGAAGCACAAACTTGCATTGAACAAATTTTACTCTACGCGAACGCGACGCACCTCACGCGAACGCGATGAACAAAAGAACCTCGATCCCAAATTACTCTACGCGATCGCGGGTACCCTCTCGCGAACGCGGTGCACTGCATCCCAGCCTTCCGCGAACGCGAAGCCCGTCTCACGAACGCGAAGGCTAAATCCTGGCTTTTCTTCAATTCCTTCTTCACGAACGCGAGGCCCCTCTCGCGAACGCGAAGAGATAAATCTCTGCAACACTGAACCTTAAATTTCTGCAACTTTCAAACTCCAAAAATGCCCCGAATGACCATCCGAAACTCACCCGAGGCCCCCAGGACCTCAACCAAAGGCACCAACACATCTTAAAACCTTATAAAAACTTGCTCCAATCATCAAAACACCTCAAACAACATCAAATTACCCAAAACACATCGAATTTAAGCCTAAGTTTCTAAAAATCTTCCGAAATACGCTTTCGATCAAAAACCCAACCAAACCACGTCCGAATGACCTGAAATTTTGCACACACATCCCAAATGACACAACGAAGCTACTGCAACTCTCGGAATTTCATTTTGACCCCGGATCAAAATCTCACCTACCAACTGTAAATCGCCAAAATATCAACTTCGCCAATTCAAGCCTAATTCTACTCCCGACCTCCGAAACCCATTCCGATCACACTCCTAAGTCATAAATCACCTCCCGAAGCTAACCGAACCATCGGAACACACATCCGAGCCCTCTAACACGTAAGTCAACATCCGATTGACTTTTCCAACTTAAGCCTTCTTAAAAGAGACTAAGTGTCTCAAACCTCTCCAAACCAACCCGGATTCAATCCAACCAACCCGATACCTCAAAACACAGATAAACAAAACATAAAGAAGCATAAATGGGGGAAACAGAGCGGTAACTCATGAGATGACTGGCCGGGTCGTCACACATGCTTCTGCAGGATGAGTTCGATTTGCATTGTTATTACTTTCAATGGGAGGTGGACTCTTGATTTCAAATAGTTGGATCATGATACAAAACTTGCTCTGCTTAATAAACAAGTATTATTCAATACTTTCCTGAAGAAAATTAGTGAAGTTACAAATATTGATTCAAGCAGATATCCAATAAAGGTATGGTTTGATATCAAACTAAATACAAGCAAAGGAATGCTTGTAACTTCAGATGAAGAACTCAGTACCTGTATACATTTGCGTACAACTGATTCAGCCTACAAGAATTGCCATTTTGTCGTTGAAAAAATACAACATTCAGAATCTGCAACATTCAAACAATCTCTTGCATATACAATAGATTATGAACCATTTGCTGATTATCAACATCAACTAGGATAGCCAATAATGGAAGTAGACAACGAGCAACAACCTTCTAACATTACAGCTGCTTCAGAATATATAATGTTGCAACAATTACCTGCTCCTCCAATAAATTCATACTAGTTTGTTGATGACCAAGAAGAAGAAGGACATCTAATAATGCAAATTGACAGCCAACACACACTCCAACAAAGTTTTTTGTTACCTTCTGCAATGATAAGCAACAACGAAGATGAAGTAAACATGGAATTTATACCGATAACATCAGATAGAATTGAAGAAATTGCTAAAACTTCTAGTGCTTCTCAGAAATCAAGAAAAAGAGTGAGGAGAAAGCTAAAAGAATCTCCACCATGTAAAATACTGAGGCACGATGCGTTGCCTGAGGAAGTAAGAGTAGGATCAATTTTTGAGAACAAATAAAACATGACTAAATTTTTCTGCAACCTGGAGATAAACCAGAAAGTTGAATTCACTGTTGTTAGATCATGTTCAAAGAGATACGAGCTGAAATGCATCGTGGAGAAATGTGATTGGAATGTACGTGCTACCAGAATAAAAAAATTCCACACTTTTCAGGGTGATAAATATCACAACAACCATGAATGCTCGGTTGATGCAAGAAAATCAGATCAGAAGCATGCTACATCAAATTTTATAAGTGAACAAATTATAGAACATGTTCGAGAAAAAAAGATAGAGGTTACACCAACCTTTGTAGAAAATAAAATGAAAAAGAAATTTGGAATTGACATTGGTTATCACAAGGCATGGCGCGCTATTCAAAAAGCTATTGCTTGCATAAGGGGAACACCGGAAGAGAACTACCAGATTCTTCCTTCATACCTACACATGATGGTGCACAGAAACCCAGGAACGTACACAAGCATAAAAAGAGATGAGCAGAATAGGTAAGCAAAACAATACTAACCATCAGCCTGAAGTTTCAAATGTTCCTATTTGAAAAACTTCACACCTTATGATTTATTTTTTTATTTTTCACTATACAGATTTGCTTACATGTTCTTTGCTCCTGCGGCATCAATAGCTGGTTGGTCCTACTGTAGACCCGTTATTGCAGTAGATGCAACATTTTTAAAGTCAAAATATGGTGGTGTTCTATTTGTTGCTGTATCAAAGGATGCAAACAATCAAATCTTTCCTCTATCTTTTGGTGTAGCAGATTTAGAAGACAATGAGGCATACATTTGGTTCTCCGGGGAAATGAGAAAAACAATTCAAGTCCGTCGTGAACTGGTTTTCTTGTCAGATAGAAACTAATCGATCGCAAATGGGATTAGAAAAGTTTATCCTGAAGCTCACCAAGGTATCTGCCTCTATCACTTTGAGAAAAATTTAAAGCAAAGACATGCAAAAGCCACAGTAATAAATCTTTTTCAAAGTGCTGCAAGGTCATATAAACGTGAAGATTTTAATCAGTTAATGTCCCAACTCAAAAGTGTTGACAAGAAAACATACAATTACATAATGGAAGAGCCTCCAGAGAGATGGGCTCGATCGTGGTTCCCACGGCGACGTTATGATATGCTGACAACGAACATGGTAGAACCAATGAATTGCGTGTTATTAAAAGCGAGAGAGATGCCTATTTTAAGAATGTTAGATTTCATCCAAGAAAAGTTGGGAGAGTGGTTTTAGGAACGGAGAAAAAAGCAAATAGTTCTTTTCACAAAGTATCAATATGGGCAGAAGAAGAGATGACTAAGAATATGGACTTGGCTTGCAAAATGTTTGTGAGTATATTTATTAACTTCAGGATTTACTTCACCGTGTTTTCTCTGAAGTAATTAAATAATGCTTTTTTATATCTGCTGCAGTGATTTACTACTTACATTTAAAAAACTTCATACTTTTTTTGAAGCAATAATACACTAATATAGTATATCTTAATTTTTTATTCATTCTTAGGTGTTCAACCTTGATTCAGTGTTGTTTAGAATAAATAGTGAAGGAATCGAAATCATTGTGGACTTAAAGAAGAGAACTTGTGACTGATAAGTTGGTGTTTTACCAACTTATCTTATCTTTAAACCTATATTTTTGCTATGATTGAGTGATAAAATCGTGTGTTTTAATGTCGTTTACTTCTATTTTACAGGGTGTATGTGATTTAGAAGTAATGGTGAAGAAACCAAGTGAAAACAAGTCAAAAAGAAGCTAAAAAGAGGAAAAATCTGGGCAATACACTCAGTGGTCGCAATTGCGACCAAAACTTGGGAAATGCGAAGATTCAGACTTGGGAATTGCGAGCAAATTCTGGGAATTGCGAAGCATAGCTGATGCATGCAGTCTTCGCAAATGCGAAGAGTACTTCGCAAATGCGAAGTCAACTAGAATAGTCAGTCTTCGCAAATGCGAAGAGTACTTCGCAAATGCGAAGTCAACTGAAAAGGTCAACCTTCGCAAATGCGAAGATATCATCGCAAATGCGAAGTGAAGCAGCACAGGAAGATCGAGCTCCAAGCCTGGGCAATTCACATTTTTAATCCCCAAACCATTTTTATACACGACCAAGCAGATCTTTGGCATATCTTTGGCTTATTTTCAGTTCCATAGACTAGAGAAGAACAAGTATTGAAGCTAGGGTTTTGCACATACACTTGGGTCTTGAAGATTTCAAGCTTGTGGTTAAGGATTTCTTACCCATTTATGTTTATTTCTTCATTTCCTTGCTTTGTATTGAATATTTAAGTGTGTAGTATTTATTTCCAACACTTGAATCTTGTTTATGGAAATACTCATATTTAAAGTGTGGATTAAATACCTTGTTGTGCTTATGTATTGAATGATTTTTATTCTTTTATGAAGTGGGTTATTGTTATTTTAATTATTCTTGTTCTTTAATGTTTCCAAAGGGATTAGATAACCCTACGACTCGCCCCTTTACTCCGAATTAATTTTGGAAAAGATAATTTGGGGTTGGGAAAGATTAATTAACAAGAACTTGAGGCGTTAACTCTCATTTTATAGATTCTACCTAGGGATATGATTGAACTACTTGTAGCCATATCCGGGAGTGCTTAATCTGTTAATTGTTTTAGGGATAATTCAATTAGGAAGTGTTTTTAGTCTTCGGAAGAAGCTAATTAAGAATTATTACCCGTGGCTAATTAACATAAACTCGCTCATATTTGTAAAATCATGAAATACATTGGATCGTTACTTGAGTGTAATTCCCGATGCAACCATACTTGTAGCCATTGATCATTTTACTTGCTTTCTAGGTTAGTTTACATTTCCGCATTTAGATATAAACATTTGCAAAACCAAATTCTTAGTGTTTGGCATTGCGCGAAAAGCGATAATTTTCTTACATTCTTAATCGCCTACACATTGTTCTCTGTGGGATTCGACCCCGACTCATAGTTGGGTAAATTTTATTGCATGCGACCGTGTCCATTTAATTTTTAGTAGTGGATTTGGACGTCATCAAAATTGGCGCCGTTGCTGGGGAACAATTTGGCATAATTTAGGTTGTTTGAGAAGTAAGCAAAAGTGCTTTGGTCCAAACTTGTAACTGTTTGTGTAATTATTTTTCTTACCTTGGTCTATTTTTCTTGTTTGTTTCTTGTTTATTTTCTTATTTTTGAAAAATGGCATCATATAATGAAAATTGGTCGGTTGGTAGTTGTTCATACTTTGATGACCCTTGTCCTTATTGTGGAGGACCACACTCTTGGCAAAATTGTTTGAATTCTCCCGGGGGTGGATTGTGTGCACAATCTCAACCCTATGAGTGGAGTATTTGTGATAAGTGTGGTTTTCAAAATGGTCATTGGGATGATTGTGCTTATTTGTCATTCCCTTCCCCAAGCCCCCACTATGATGATTCTACTTTTTGTGATGAGAATTATAGGGCTATGGAAGTGGAAGAAGTTGAGCATGGCCAAAGTGGAGAGTTCAAGCTTATGTTGGAGTGTTTACTTGAAGAAGGAAACAAGGAGCAAAATGCCTTGGAGGAGCTTTTGGAGAATAGTCTTCAAAATGACTTGGCACTTGCAAGGTTGCACTCACAAATGGATGAAATGATCGAAGCCTTAAGGATTCAAAAAGCCTCGGAAGTGAATGATATCCAAGAACCTCCCTTGGAGATTGAAGTTGAAAATCCTTCCTTGGCACTTGATCAAAACCAAGAAGAACTCTCAAATGCTCAAAATGAGAAAATGATGCTCATGTTGGAGACCATTCTTGAAAATGAGGAGAAGCACAACTTTGCACTCGAGGACTTGAAACAAAGCTTGAATTACAATGATGAACATATCCGCACGTTGGAGGATCAAATGCAAATATTGGTTGAGGCTCACTATGCCCACCAACTTGAGAGTGTGGAAGGAAGCCAAGAAGAGTCCAATTCCGAGGAAGAAAGTGAGCTTTACTTCGAGGAATCAAGAATTGAACATCCGCCAACCGACTCCATAATTGTTAGAGATGCCAAGAAAAATGTGGAATTAGAGTCAACCGGTATAAATGCAAATGTGGTTGATATTGACTCCAATCCGGGGGAAAAAGAGGATGTCAAAATAGAAAAATTTCAAAGTGAAGGCTTGAAGTCTCATTCCAAGCATTTTTTAACGTTGGAATTGTGGGGTGATATAGAAATTGAACTACACAAGTCAATGAGGGATTGCGAGGAGGAAAGGCAACAACCATACATTTTACAGTTTGAGGAAACAAGAAAACAAAATGACATCCCTCACATGAGAGCCAAGAAGTGCAAAATGAAGAATTTAAGGCTTGGCTTGATCATCAACTTACCACCCCCCATCGCTCGTGGTCACAAGCTTGATTCCAAGCTAGGCGCCCAGTTCATATCATCCAAGTGGCGAGAAAAGTGGTAAAGTTCTTTGCGTCGTGCCACGACATTAAATGCGGCGCTTGGTGGGAGGCAACCCATCGTTTTTCAAAATTTTTAGTCATTTTTGAAATTTAATTTTTTAGAATAGCTTAGTATATTATTTGTAACTAATCTGCCAAGTTTTGGATTTTTTGGAGTTGATTTGAGTAGGTCGGAGTGACCCGGAGAGCCAAAACCAGTAGCTGTTGAAAGTTGCAGGGCAATTTTCGCATTTGCGAAAATAGTTTCGCATTTGCGAAGTTCCCCAGTCGCAATTCCCCAATTTGTTTCGCAATTGCGAAACCAGTAGGACTAAGTGACCTTCGCAATTGCGAAGTGTCTGTCGCAATTGCGACTTCTGAGAGTTAAAATCAGATTGTTGCTCATTTTGAACACAAATTGAACAAAAACGACATAGGCTCTAAAACTCTTGGCTTCCTCACTCTCCTCACTGTAAACTCCTTCAATTCGCACTCCTCATTGCAGGGATCCAGGTATGAAAGCTCAATCACTCTCTCTTCTTCTTCTTCGTCTTCATCTTCTCCTTTATTCTTCTTGATTTTCTGAAACCCTAGTGCTCAAATGGGTATCACCCTCTGCCCAAAATGGTTCAAAAATGTTTTCAAAACTTACATTGATTTCTGGGTGAGGTTGGTTGAGAGTGTGTGATGATGTTCATTGTAAAAAATTGGGGAAGTCTGAGTACCCAACGCTTGTCATGAAGCAAAGAAGTTTTACGCTTTTTATGTGTTACGATAAAGATCCGANCACTTGGGCGATTTGGGTGCTTCCAAAGAGAGGATTTCAACATAGTATTGAAAGGTAAGTAATCTCCCTCCATTCTTAGTTTAATTACATGAACATTAGGTAGATTAAACACTAAGAACTAAGTAAAAATCAAGGGTTAGAGCTAGACCTAGGGTTTTAATAAAACTAAGATTTAAGCATGTAAATTGCTATGTAATGAACTAGAAATGATATATTATTGATCCTTAAGTTGTAGAGAACAACTTCCTTCGAAAAATCTCGGAATCCAGGCACGTGGGCCCGGGGTCGGAATTTAGGAAACTTGTGAAAAGGGTTGGGAAATGGCTTAAATAGCTAGAATTCGATCTTGTAAACTTATATTGACTAGCTCTTACTTCCTTTAACTAGTTTGCGATCGTTTGGTTCCTACTTGAGGGCTTGGACTTGTTTTGATATTGGAAGTGCGCTTCGGAGCGAGGTGAGTCTCCTTTCTAACCTCGTAAGAGGGAATTGTCCCCATAGGTATCATAATTGAATTAATTGTCATTAAATTCGGGGGCTACGTACGCACTAGGTGACGAGAGTCCGTACGTAGTGACTATTATGTTATGTCCGGGTAGTCTAGGACCCATAAGCATGCTCTACGTGACATTCTAGTACGTGTTGATTAATTTGGATT